CTATCCTAACAAACCATACATCAGTGGAAAGCTTATTTATTCAGCAATAATTAAAAAAAAAATACACTTAAGACTTACTTAAGACTTACTTTTTTTAAATACACTTTTGTGGTCCAGGGTCACAAATACAAATTTTCTTAAATAACATACTATATATAAATAACAATATATACTGTATATATATATATATATCTGTCAAAAACGATCTGGAGGATGTATTTAGAGAGTAATCAGTCAAAATGTTGACTTCAGTGCCAGCGAGACTCACATCCGCTGACATTCCCATCAACCCTCACATGCAGCTCCTCACATTAGCGCTGAAATTGGGGCACTTGAGGATATTTTTAAAGCCCATCCAGCTTTACGTTTATTATTCAACTTCATAAGAAATTCAAGACTGTTTAAAATGCTTTTACCTACAGAAAAAACCCTTTCCACAAAGCTGACCCATTTTTCTCCATATGAAACACACGGTCGGGTGACCTGATTCAAATAAAACCCAGCATTTTCATACAGCATTATTATTTATATATGTGTGAGAGCGTGTTAAAGCCGTATTTCTTTACTTATTTAAAGAGAAAGCGGTGTGTTGTGTGAAATATTCTGTACATTATTCCTCAAGTTTTATTGCAAACGGCTCTTGTTTGCATTCCCACCGGAGTACAATAACGCTTCCTATTACTTTTATGGTAATAGTTATTCCCAGAGTGTGTACTGAATAATATATGTCGGAACATAATTGTCCTCACCCTGGTTTGTATAATCAGCTTCTGAGGCTCTATATAGTGTGAGAGTCCAATGTATAAAGCACGGGAACTATGAGCAGACGCCTGAACTCATGTAGAAAACAAAACTGCGCGTCTGTGCCATTTTCTCATTTAGTTTTATTTCCCTTAATAAACTTCTGAAATGGCAACTATGAAACTTAAGTATCCTGAGCTCTGAAGGAGCAACACCTGAGCAATGAAACGTCCACAAACTGAACTCAAACGCTCTTCTCAAATGAACCGATTCTTCCTGAAACCCTCTTGGAGTTTATAATGGAGAAGAAAACGAGCGCAGGACGCTGGCGAGGCGTTTTTGATTGATAGGAAGCCGTAACGTCCTGACAGATACGAAGGCCACGCTCATCTCCGCTCTGCTTTTACAATTTGCTTGCCAGTTCCAGAAACCCCTACAAATGTAAATGACACCAGGAGAGCAGCGCTAATGACGATAATTCATCATACGTACGGCCCGCGCTGTGATAAAACCTCCTTATAGCGTTTCATATCACTTATACATATTCAGACTTATCTGAGGACGCAGAAACGCAGTGACAAGCCAACAATCACCTCATTTCTCTCACAGCAGCTGCTGAGGGCCTATTAAACCATTTCACACAGTCAGAGAAGAGTTGAACTCCAGTGCAAGAGATGAAAACAACAGACACCATCAATTCCTGAACACGGAACTTAAAAACAGAAACACTCTTTTTGATAATAATAATACTAATAATAATACATCAAATATTCATATTTAAAACAAATAAATGCTAAAAAAGTTTAAAAAATAAATAAATAAATACACATAAATAAATAAACAATATATAAAACAAAACGTAAAATAACATTTAAATAATAATAATAATAATAATATTTTAAAATAACTGAAAATATAAATGAAAAATATAAAAATAAATATTCATCTTCTCTCTAATACATCATTCTGAAGTCATATTTTAGAAAAACAGCGTCTCATTTTCATATCAGAGAGTCGTACGGTGAAAGCTCTGGGCACTTTGATGGTTTTTGCAGTTGTGATTTTGTCATTTTTCTAAAATACGCCCTTCTGGCCCTTTTCTTTCTGGGTGTTCGGTGAGGAAAACAGGATTGGAGATCATTTCAGATGCTATAATAATGATAATAATAATAATAATACATATAAAAATATAATTTACATAAATAAGAATAATAAGAAAAAAACAGCAAATTAAGAAAATAATACATAAAATAAATATTAATATTTAAAACAAAAATAACATTTAAAAATAAATTAAAATGATCATAATAATATAAAATAACTAAAATAAAAAATAAAATAAAAAACTATTTAAAAAATTAGATTAGTAAAAAAAATAAACAAAATTAAATAATAATACATAAAATAAACATTGATATTTAAAACAAATAAAACCATATAAAAATAAATTATAAATATCAATAAACAAAAATATATAAAAGTCTAATGAAAACATAAATAAAACAAAAATAAAACATTTAAAAATAAATAAATTACATATTAAAAATCCAATGAAAATAATAATAATAATAATAATAATAATAATAATAATAAACAACCATTCTCATACAATGTTTCACAATTCAATCAATTCCAGATTGACATTTTTTTCCTAATTCAATATCCGGTTTTAATAAGAAATGTGTTGAATTATGGAATTAATATGTGTTGCAAGCTGTGCTTCATGCTTCACATGTTCGTATTGTCATTAAAAATGCGAGGCAGAGGTTGTGAATGTACATTTATAAAACGAGCAGATTGTGCATGTGTGAGCGCATCTGTTTTTGCATTGGCCTCTTGTTCTCTGCATGCGAGCCAATTCATTCATTGCTCTACACAATCATTAGCAATGTTTCTGTATACAGCTCATGGTTTTGCATTGATTGGACAGGCTGGAAATGGTTTCAGCCAATAGTACGCTTTCAGATAGGTTTCTGTGTCCAATAATTGGTAAAACAGAA